ACTTGATGCCGCCCTCGAATTTAGTTATGGCACGGGCGGAGCATTTGTTCTCGTTGAGTCGCTTGCCATTGCCATCGGAGCAGATCCAATTGATGGTGGCGCGAAAGCTGGCCTCCTTCTTGTACATATAGCCATTGAAGATCAGATTATAGCCCTGCTTCTGGTTGCGCGTGAAGTAGTAATCGTATTTGTTTATCCAAACGCTGTTAGGCAGTTCCGCTATGAATTGTCCATTCTGGGCAGCGTTAACGCCTGCAATTGTATATGAAAAATGGGAAATTTGTGTTTGGATCCTCTGACTTGATTGTGTCCTTAAAAATCACTTAGTTTAGAGCAAAACACACATTTGAAGGCAGCAAAAACTTTATTCAGGGTATACATACATAGATATACACAAATATGCGATATACAAAAATAGTTTACATTGCAAATTGTAGCATCTATGGTAACTATAAAAGCTACAGCACTTACCACTGCATGCCTTTAAGCTCAAGTCGCTTCTTTAATTCAAATTAACTGCCATTTTTGGTAAACTAAACACAAAATTTGTTGTTCAACAACTCTCACAATACACAAACAACGCAAAAGATAATGCGCGTGCTGCAGCCAAGTGTCGGCGTTGCATTAAAATTGTATCACATTTTACACATGCAGCACATTTAGCACATTTGCACAAAGACACTTCAGTTATTTGGCACATTTTAAATAAGAACTTTTTGGAACAGTTTTTATAAAATTTATTAGCAAGTAAAACCAAGCGTAGCCAATCGCGGCGAAAAATTACAAGAATGCGGCGAAATAATAAAAAGATGGCTGACTTGTGGTTGCATTGATATGGCAACGCTACATCCAACACTTACTCACCGTTGCCACTTGAACGCGCTAATGTGTACCAAAAATTAAATATATTCAAAAAATTTGTGATTAGTTTTGCCAGCCTTTAGTTTGGCAAATATTACTCTATGAAAATTATATTGTTATTAAATAATATAATACATACGACTTCGCACAATCTTAGAAACATTTGTATATTTCATGATGCGTACACCAAGAAAAGTTTTATATATTCTCTAAAACAAGAAGCTTTTATAAGTTTTTTTATTTTAAATTAATTGATTATTAATTCGTGAATTGATAAACTTTGGTACAGTTGTACCACATGAGTGGCAACTGTGTACAGCTAGCAGGTGGCAACACTTGAATCTCAAGTACAGTGCTTCTTCTTAACTTGTGATTTAGATTTACAGTGCACTTATATTTTATTATATTTTATTTTTTATTTAATAAATACTCTCAAGCCCTTATACTTGTGTTTTATTTTATTTCCGTTAAGCTGCTTTTATGCTGAGCCGCATTTATTTAACCTCGTTTCTCTATCCCACTTCATTATAACTACAGCCCCAGCCACAGCCACATCTACATTGGTCGCACCACAGGTAATTCCTCCACGTAAACGCGGTCGCCCTAAAACAAAAGTGGACGATGCCCAGCCAAAACTCAAATTGCTCGACAAGCTCAAGGCGGCCACCGAAAACCTGGCTGCCAGCAGGCCAGCTGTGTATGCCTCCACCACGAAAGGTAAGTCCACTTGTTGCATCCATTAAAAAGAAAGTTCTTGATATTAATAAGACATTTGCTTTCGCGCAGGTGGCGTAAAACTGGTCTATGAGGGACATCTGTTCAAGTTTTCGTTCCGCAAGGCCGAGTTCTCAGTGTTCCAGTGCTGTTTCAGGGAGCACGGAGAGGAGTGCAAAGTGCGCGTAGTGTGCGACCAGAAGAATGTGTTTCCCTTTGATGGAGAACACGTGCATTTTATGCAGGCGAGCGACAAGAGCGTAACTTCCTCTCAATTTATGCCTGGCGAGGGAATAGTCAAGCCAGCGGAGTCCAAGCCGGAACCAAAAGTGGAAATACTTATACAAAAGAGCACAATAAGCGAGGAAAACGCAGAAGAGGAGGAAGAGGAGGGCGAAGTCTTTGAAATACATGCAATTGAGGAAGCAGAAATGAGCGAAGCCGCACCTGACGGTGGCACGGAGGAAAACTCGAGTGCAAAACCCGTCCAGGCCGAAGAGGTGGATCCAACTGATTTTCGTGAGCGGATAAAACGTCGCTTGCAAAAGGCGCTGCAAAACAAGAAAAAATAACAAACGGGGAAAAATCTGAATGTCTACCTATATAAAATTGATTTTTACATGTTTTACACTATACACTATTTACATTTATACATATATATACTTAATAATCACGTTTCGAGGCAACTTACATACTGCACTTTACAACAAGCTAAACAAAATGAAACAAAATTCTTTAAGTTAATAATTTGTTTGTAATAAACTTTGAGGACAATAAAGCGGAGATTCCATTTTAAATATCTAGCACGTAAGCAACACACATTTAGAAAATAATTACAATTCTTTGCATATTTTCTAGCCATTCCTAGTCAATTCATAGCTTAACTTACTTTCTTTTCTTATTCCTTTTGCAGTGACGCAGCACGTACACAATTGCGGCCCGCAGACGTTTCTGATTAGCCGGAAGGGCGGCACTTTACTGACCATCAACAACTTCGTCTATCGCTCCAACCTCAAATTCTATGGCAAGAGCAATGATATATTGTATTGGGAGTGCGTGCAGAATCGTTCAATGAAGTGCCGCAGCCGATTGAAGACCATTGGCGATGATCTCTATGTAACGAATGGTTTGTGCGAATAAGACCTTTTGCTAATGAATGTTCCCTTATTATAATTACGTGATTTGCTTTAGATGTTCACAATCACATGGGCGACACGAAGCGTATTGAGGCAGCTAAAGCTTCGGGCATGCTCATACACAAGAAACTGAGCTCTCTAACCGCTGCAGATCGCATTCACGGCTGGAATCGGGCTGATCAAATCGATCAAATGGTTAAGTTCGAAGCTACGTAGAACAGTCGTTCGCTCGATCGATCTTAAAGCAATCGAATAGTACTTAGCATGAGCCTGAGACACAACTGTTCAACGAAATACTTACGCCTAGACTTAACGCAAAACCGTCAATTTTAATTTAAAATCTAAACATGTAAATTTGAAAATACCTGCTTGAAAGCCAGTTAATAATAACAGCTATTTATATGACATGTTAACTACTATTAATATAAACATTTTTTGTTTGTATAATATATTAAAAGACATACTATTAGTTTAGACAACAATTTTAACGAAATGTTCGGCTTAAAAATATGTATTTACTCTATTGTATTATCATTGATACAACTATTTTTATATCCTCTACAAAGTTTATTTTAAATATGTCACAAACTATGAACCTGAAGAAAACCTGATCATAAATGTTTACTGAAATTTGAGCCATTATTAATTCTATATACGAGAATAGTCTAACAGTTAGAATCAAGCAAAAAATCTAATGCGTATAAATTTAGTTTCTCTAACTTTTTATTTGGTATTGACAACTCTACTACTCTTGGATATATCGCAATACAATATCATAAAGCTATTCAAGTAACAGACATTTTATTATGCAAAAGTTTTTAAACAATTGAGAACAACATTTAAATGTTGAATCTAATTTATATAGTTGACAATAGGAACAATCACTTATTAAGCATACAGCGAGACTAAATTAATGAAAACTTGTGTTATAATTCTGTTTACCTCAGTGGCTACACATTTGTCGAATTTTGTTATTCTTGGTTAACGAATTTCTTGGCTAGCTTCTTCTTAAAATAGGTTGACTTTGTGTTAACACTGCGATGTATGTGGGAAGCACATGAGAAACGGTATTTGATTTCCGTGCCCATGGCAAAGGTAAAAACTCGCGCTTTGCACCCCTTGGAATGTTTCGAACAGCGCCACGTTCCAATCTTGCCAACGCCCCGATGGGATATGAATTGGTTTTGTCCAATTATCAGCTTTGGATGATTGCGAGCTGTGGCCACAAAGACCGCTGTGCCGTCGTAGTCACGGTGTTTGCGCTTGCGGGAGCGATCTGAAATGGAATAATTTTTCGTTTTTGTTTAATTTCAAGTTATTTAAGCGCAAACTCTATATTAATTAAACTAAATATAAGTGGTTTTAGTTAATATTTTATTAATACAATTCTCGTAATATTTTTGGTTTAATTTCATAAATGATGACTATACGCATAGTAACACAAATCCTTTGCCTTTCGAGATCTCGCTGCACCAAAGGCCGCTATTGAACTTCAGAACTTCGCGCTCCTTATCCTAACGATAATGAACATTTGATCACATAGTTATAAATTATAAAAATACAAATACAAATAATTTATTTAGTCCTTTTTTGACTGGCGTTGCTCTTGTTGACTTTTTAGTTTTTATCTTTGGTTCGAATGAGTAGCGCGAATTGATCGATATTTGATTTCAGATCTGTATTGACACATGCCTTGCAACCGTACACGAATCCTATCCTTGAAGCAATGGAATCTAGGTGAATTGTGGCCAATCACTTTGAAGGTAGCGATGCCATCAAAGAGTAAGGCCTGCTTCCTACGTTTGGATTTCGTTGTCTCTGAAAGAGATTGAGAAGAAAAAGCTTTTTGAAACATTAAAAGATTTTGATTTCTCAATAGACAGTTTGAGGGTTCGTTGTATTGGCTAGTCGATATATCTATATACAAAAAAGAAGTTAACTTAACTGGTTACAATACTAAATCTAAGTCTTAACTTTAGAATTAATCATACATCATACATATGAAAGGTGTATTATAGACTTTATTATATACAAGCATCTTAACTTTGCATTTATACTAAAACTTATTTTACAAACTTCTTTAACTAACTTTAAATATAAGCTTACTAAATTACCTTTGATTTTTTATTACAATTAAAACTTATGTTAATTGACAATTTATACAAAGTATATATGTTCATGTATATATATATATATATATATATATATATATATATATATATACATATATATACCTGTATATCAAAGACTTTGACGAAGTTGCACTTAGGTATAGGTACTCAACGACTTCCAACGCAGCCTTGGCTAGTACTCCTTGTTAATGTAGACAGCACCATGGCCAGGACCAATCGCTTGCAGCTGCGGCATCGACGTGCCTGGCTGTTGCCTGTGATGCTGATGATGCATCAGCGCCATCATTTGCGGTGCCTGCACGGTCACCGGCATAGACATCGGCATTGCCAGCGGCATGGGCATTGTCAAATGAGCTGTGGTCGTTGCATATGCTTGAGGCAGCGGCGGCGGCGGTGGCTGTTGCTGCTGCTGCTGCTCCATGGCACTAGACATTGCATTATGTATGACAGGTTTGATATTTAAATTTCCGCTCCCACTGAGATTGCTCTTGGCTTGACAGTAGAGTTGACAGAGTGGCAACAGCTCTTTGTGGCGTCGCTTGATATGGCTGAGGAAATTGCCCGTCGACTTGGTAGTTCCCGAGATCAAGCCGTAACAACTGGTGCAGGTGGCCTGTATGGCGCCGGGCGTCTTTTGATTGGGCTGTATATTCTTATAAAACTTACCGTCAAGTATTTTTGGCAGCGTATACGGTTTTCTTATAGCCATTGTATCGTCATCGCTTAAATACGCAGCAGCAAAGGCGGCCAAGCAACCGTCGGTCTCCGGCACACGCGTAGGAGTCGCTGATGCCTCTGAACTGAGCTCCACTTTGACATCAACTGAAAATAGAAAGTGGAATAGATTAGTAAATTAGCTCGGTTATATTGTGTACAATAGTGAAACAAGAACATGAAGGCTTTCATGTGTCTAAATACATTTATTTCCAGTTATAGATGTCTTAGGTTAAACAAAGATAATTGCGGTAAACATTAATCTATTGTAACTCGGATAACTCATCAAGAATCTCTACTGTAAATTCCGGTGAACTACATTCATCGGCCTTCACTTCTGGGCCATGGGTGTGCGGAGAACCGGCAATACGTAAAGTAACGTCGTTCACCTTAGATGTGACCAGGGTGGCACGACAGCAATGTTTCACGTAGCGCGAACAACGCCAGAAGACGTTCTTCAAGCTCTGCCTGTTCACTACATATCTGTAGCCATTGTAGATGAGCATTATACGACCTCTTTGCGTTGTCGTATATTGTATATTAGTGCTGGTGTTTTTGTCCTCGAAGAGTGCTTTGATGGACTGCATGACACCTACAATTAGAAAAAATATGTTGAAATGATGTTAGAGTTAGAATTAAAGTTAAGAGTTAGAACACAAATATGCAGAGACAAGGTTTATATATCACAAACAGGCTGGATGATAGATATATATATATATATATATATAGTAGGGTATTAACAAATTGATCTACATTTTATTTCAGTTAAAACAGTAAACATACAATGTGGCAAATTCGGTAAGTAATATAGAAAGAATTAGAAATTCCTAGCTACTGCCCGAGTTAGCTAGGTTTACTTTAATAGTGGCCAATTTGTGATCGATGTACTCCTGGACATTGGCTTCCTTCAACTTGTCGCCGCGCCGGGCAAACACCTGACATACATGGGCTGCGGACAGAGTAGATATCATATACATTTATACATGTTCACATAATAATATAATCTGTTCTTTATATACTTATGATGGCATGGAACGTTTCCTTTTCTGGCTGCTGTTCGCCTAGAGCAATGCGCCTTAACTTATCTTTACCAATGACCAGATCGGTAACACGTGACGTGTATATCGGCGGAATCGGCACATAGAGCTTAGCTAAGTCTGTTTTCGAGACAAACACGCTGCTGCCGGCAAATAATGGTATCGGTGCATCCTTTTTCGATTTTATGGTTATATCCGTTTCATTTTCTTTTCCCTTGTCTTTGCTGCCTGGAAATGTACACGTTTATTAGAGAACGTCGTTAACAATAAACATAATAAATAATAAGTTAAGTTACAAAAAAAAACACATTTACATTTTTGCTTAATTTATTTATTTTACATTTGATAATAAATATGTTTGTAAAGGGATCCTACATTTACGTTGCGAACGTAGCTATGTGCACACATTGCGCGAAGTTGCTTAGAAAAAACAATGCACATCTCTTAATCAACGTTTAAACTAGCAAAAATACACAAATACATTTATATTTAAATAAAGTGTAATACAAATTCCTTTGTAATAATTGTTCACATATTAACAAAGTTAAAAAAATGTCTGACTTTTAAGCAAGCTGTTAATACACACACACACACACTCGCACGCACAATAAAAATGCCACTCAGGGTTGCATTGCGCGGGAAGCGGGTGGCAGCGCTGCCACACCATGTGGCAACGCCAAGATTCGCCGCAGTTGAGAAAACAGAATTATATTAATTGCTGAAAGAAATAATTATAACATTGTTTAGCAAAAGTTTAAAAAATTTAGAACGTGTACAGAAAATAACCAGATGTAAGCTGTGTAAATAAAGTTAAAGTGCAAAAGTGCGTATTACATGTATAATACTGGTGCCAAATAAAATATATGTATGTATATTATGTTTGTGTTTGTGTTGTTGGTAGAATAAAACAATGTTTGTGTACAAATTATGGCATCGCATCTGTGAAATTATCTGAAATCTCAAATCGAAACCCTAAAAGTGTCATTGTTAATGTGTTTTCTAATCGATAAGTTCATAAAATGCAATTCACACACAGTTTAGCTCGTCAACCCCGATTTAAATGCAAATTTCTTTGCTTTGTCCTTTCTCTTAAATTGAAAAGATTGATACGAACTTTGTTTGGTTAGACACTGTGCAGTTAACAAAACGCTTAGGTATTTTGCAACATGATTTTCTTCCCCTTTGTCAGTGAGCGCTTGAAACTGCAGTTATTCAATATGACTATTATAGTGCAACTGCATTGAAAGGAGTTTGTGCTATAATAATTCAACAATGTTTATGGTAGACACTAATTTGCTATAAAAAGTTCAGCTAATGTTTTTGATGCGTACTTTGTCCATTCTGTTATAAAAGTTGCATATATTAAAGTAAATTATAATGAATTAGGCTCATAATAAGAGGAGTTAAACTAATGCTTATTGCAATACTATTAAGATGCCCTATACGAACGCTATGCTAACTTGTTAAATTAATAATTACAGTGAAAATTCTATGGAAATATACAGAATCATGGAATAATTTTTAACTGTTCTTAAATAGAGCTGTGTTGAAGTCATATAAAGACGACACAAGTAGTCGGATTAAGGTAAGGAAGCGTAGATCACGATATCATAATAAATCTATAAAGATCCATAATGAATCATTTTCAAAACTACATTAAAATGAAGATATTACAAATGTAAACTAAATTAAAGAGAAGATAATGATATACAAATGTTTATTTAAAAGTAGTTTTAAGTTTGCCTAGAATCTAAGCATGTAAGAATCGAAACAAAAGAAATCAATAAAAAAGTAAATATTGAATATGATTTGATGGAATTTTGATTAAACCTAATGCCAATAAAATAGTATTAAATAGTATTAGTCTATTCTAACTGTTAACTTTGCATTTTTCAGACGATTTATTAATGGACTATAAGATACAGCTGCCTTTGCAGAAACGTAAATTGGGCCGAAAGGAAAACTTTGATCATTTAGACGTTTGCTTTACGCGCAGCAATCGTGGTAATAATTTGCTGACCATCAATGGGAAGCCCTTCACCCTGAACCGTAGGATCAAGGACGCCTGCTACTGGGAGTGCGTCAAGCTGCGCTGCAAATATATCAAATGCACGGCGAGAGTTGTGACCAAGTCAAATCAGATATCCGCTCTGCGCGGACACCACAATCATCCATAGAAAGCAAGACACAAATAAATATGACTTATGATCAAATTTAAAAGAAATTAATTGCAATTCTTTATACTTATAGGCAAACAGTCTATAAGTCAAAGCTAACGATTTTCGGTCTTTGCAGATGACCTTTGTGTGCCGCGCAGCGGCAGCAGCTGCTATTGGCTGGTGGCCAATCGGAGAGGTGGCCAGAATCTCCTTTACAATGGACACATGTACACCGTGGAGCGCAAGTATTTGACGACCATCAACTGGGTGTGTGCGAAGAATAGCAATGTGAAGCTGCGCTGTCCAGCGCGCTGCGTGACCAACTCGAGTCGCAGCATCAAACTGAGTCAACGCAAACACAATCATGCCAGCAATCTGTACAAAATGCACAAGTCACGAACTAGGCCGTAATAAACAGCAACTCTATACGAAACCCTCTAAACTATATTCAATTGTAACACTCGACCATCATCTAGCTATTGATCTATAACTAACTCTCACACGCTGTTCATCGTGCTTTACTAATCCAATCTTCTCGCATACTTCTTGCATTTGCATGCCGCAGCTGCTGCCAGGCGACGAGGTATCTACATTAAAGATCGTAGCGGCTGCCTGCTCATTGATGGATATCGATTTGTGATTAGCTATCAGCAGCGTCACCGATGTTATCTCAAGTGCTCCAATTTTCGCAGACAGTGCCGTGCGCGCGCCATTCAGAACAAGATGACGGGGCAGCTGCAGCTGCGCAATGGCAGTCACAATCACAAGCGCACGTCGCCGCCTAACGCATTTATTTGAGCAAGTACACACCCACGCACACACCCACACATACACATACATGTATAATAAATAGTTTTTCAAATTGAATCGCCTGCTTTTCACTAATAATATACATACCCCCATCAATTATAATTAATACACACATTAAATTTAAGTATATTTTTGACAATTTTCACTCTCTTACTGCTTTTAGCCACTCCTGATGAGCTGCCTCCTGTAAATGTGGCACAGTATGTGAGATCAAGTCGGGGTACGGATTTGGTGTTCTATGAGGGCAACACATACACGCCCAACGAGAAGTTGCGCGAGGGTCAGAAGTCGCGCGATTGGAAGTGTTCCATGTACCACAAGGCCAAATGTCGTGCTCGCCTGAACACTCGTATGACCAATCAGGGCGATCTGATTCACATGACCAGCCAGAAGCATTCGCATCCGGCTATGTATGTGCTGCAGCAGGAGGGCCCAGATGCGAGGAAAGTGTGCCTCACACGGAACCCACAGTGCGTCGGTCCACACACCACCAAAACGGGCAAATCAAACTAATCTAAGGCCTTTGAGTGGAGAAGAATGAATAAAACTTGTTTTGCTTTGATTTAACTTGATGGCTGATTAATTATTACTCATTAATTTCTGATCATATTTGAACCAGCTGATATATTTCACTAATGTATTTGTCTTCCTGCCATTTACAGCTGAACTCTGTGGCTATCTGTCTGTGGATTCGGTGATCAATTCGCAGGGAAAACGCTCGCTGATCAAGTGCCCCAGGTTACGCTTCATTCGGGGCCAGCGTAAGTCCGTGCAGTTGGTCTATAGCCAATACGCGTATGCAAAGAACAACGAGCACGGTCCGACTACCTATTGGAATTGCCGCATACGACGCACTGGACTGCCGGCGTGCAATGCTCGAATGTCCACGACGAAGCTGCCTAATGGCAGCTACAAGGTGTGCTTGACCCGGCCGGAGCACAATCATCCGCCTTCGAAGCGTATCGCACGCATGCTGCAAGATTTTAGAGTTTAAGCTGAGAAAAAAATATATGTAAGCCCTGAGGCGAAACGACTTGAACACGACTTATTTAATTACATTTTTAAGCTAAGTACATTTGCATTAAGCTTAACTAATTGACTTTTTGTTTACTTTTATGCCTATAGAGAACAGCGTTGCGATATATTCAGCCACATCGCGGGGTCGCATGCAGCTCATTTATGGGGGCCAGCCGTTCATCTTTGAGAAGACTCTAAAGCTGTCCACGGGCGAGGAGAAGCGCTATTGGCGCTGCAATCAATGGTGGAATCAAAAGTGCCGATCCAGAGTGTTCACAATCAATGACATTGTCTGTCCACTGAATCGCTTCCACACGCACGAGGAGATTGTGCGAAGAAAGAAGCGAGTGAGGCGCATCCAACCCGCGCAGGAGCAGAGCAATGCGAATGCCAAGGTTTATACCACAACAGCCTCAGCTAGGCAGGAGCAGCAGCAACAGCAGCAACAGGTGCAGCACGACCAACAGCAACAACAGCAGCATCTTCACCATACCCAGCAGCTGTCCAGCGATGCTATGCTGGGCACCACGCTGAGTGATGAAGCAGCGGGCACTATCGACGTCAATGATCTTGGCATGCATTTAAAGTACGAGGAGATAGTGGCCGATGTAACGGGCATTGTGGGAGGGCACACGCACGCACGTGTGCTGACCCGCAAAAAGTGAATGAGAGCTGGAGGAAGTGGAGGTGTCTGTAGTTCGTAATGATTCAATTGTCTATTAATACATTCAAGCTTCTATAGTGCATATACACATTCAAGTAAACGCAATTTTAATAAACTTAGCTAAGGCTTCAACAGCAACCAAGTAATTCGATATACATATATGATATACAGCTCCAATGTAAACCCCACTTGCTTCTCTATATACATACACTCTCTTTGTCTTTCTCCATCTATTGCAGCGGCTGTCTTCTACTACACCAAGGGTCAGAGAAAGTCTATTAAATTGAACTACGGTGGGCACAGCTATGTGAAATTCATGGAGAACAGTCGCGGCACCAAATGGATCTGTGCCACACGCTCCACAACCAAGTGTCGTGCACGTGTCCGCACCAAGGATGAGACTCTGGAGGTGCTGCACGGTCCACACAATCATCAAATGTGCCGACGACACTGCGAACGTGCCAAACAACGACGAACTGCCAGCCAATCTTAACTCGAATACAATCGATCTATGAGTAGGATTTCTAAACAAATATATAGATCCATATTTTATCAATGCTATTTATACAAAACCAATTAGAACAAGAATTATGACTCAATATTTATAAATATATATAAAATATGCTTAGGTCAGGTCAACAATCGAGATAATACTCTAAGTTTAATTTCTCTTCTGTTTTATTAAAAAAATTCAGATCAATTAAGAGGAGACTCTAGATAGTTATATATCTTATAAGTTTAAGAAATTAATGAGGTGACCCGACATATACTATATATACCTATGAAACCTTAGGAACACTGAACAGCTGAATCTTCTTAATAGATATGTATGTCAAATTGAATATTTCAATGAGTCTTCAAATGTTGCATATTAAAATATATGCACATATATATATATATATATGTATATATTTCTAAAATTGTTTCAAGTATATATAAGTATAATCGAATCGTGTTGGTAGCTAATGCAGCTCCTCGAAACAGGGCTCACACATCCAGTTGCTGCCAGGACAGGTGTCACAGCAGGTGGTCAGACGTTCCAAATTAGTTTTGCCCTTCTTCAGGCATGTCACGCATTTGCCCTTCATACGGGGCACGCCGACAAATACGAAATTGTGTTGATTGCTAGAGGTACGTAAAATGTTCTCTGGATTGCTTAGATTCAATTTGGCTCTCACAGGCTCCATCTGGGCAACCGCTGTCACTGGATCTATATTTAAATTTATTGTTGTTGGCGTAAATGTCCGTCGCTTAACAACTCCTGCATCCGGGAGCAATTGTTTAATGTTCACACGAGGCACGGGCACACGTTGAGGATCACGGCGCAGTATAACGGTGCTGCTTACATTAGGAGTTCGGGTTCGGTGTGTGTAAGTGTATGCTGCAATAGAATAGTTCTTAATTTAGAGTATGGTTTGGGAATGTATATGAATTTACATACTACATAATACTACATTAAACTAGGTCCTGGATAACAAGGGCGTAGAATTATATTAGAGTAAACATAGCATGTTTGAGTTGACAATTTTTATTAAATGTGAAAATAGGCAATTGAAGACTACAGTTGGTAGCAGCTGGCTTTCTCTTGCTATATCAATCTTCCGTTAAGATAGCATTATAGTTTGGCAGTTCTTAGTCTAGTTTTTAAATTCCTATTCACGAGAGCCGTCATGCCTTCGTAATGATCTGACAGTTAGTCAGACTAACCGTCGACAATATCTATAAGAAACATAAAGATCATATTAGATTTTTAGCCAACCAAAAGCGTCTTCATAGGAATTTCAATTACAAAAACATGTAGGCGACAGTGTACTCCCTAATCCTGATGCTTATAAGAGCCTCTGCTCTGTTCTTACAAAGTTTTATGTGAATATCAGTCTTAGAGTAATGCAGAAAAATGTGAAATGCCTCAATCGTGTGTTGATGTTGAAATTATCCAGCAGTAGCCATAGTCAAGCTGTGAAAAACGAAGATGTTTTTAAATTAGTAACTAGCTAACATCGTCTTAAAGTCAATCAGTATTACACAAGCTCTATGGTGTATAAACTCTGGGCATGAAGGTCTTTAAAGGCTGTGGTGCTGTATGATTATGGCTGCCGCGTAGTCCAGTAATTGCCTTCCTCCTAGTGGTGAGTGCAGCATTGCAACCAAGTTTCTTGTAAAAGCTGCAACGCCAAAAGGCCATGCAACGTGGTACATTCCGTGAGTGGCAGCTGTAGGTGTGAGCCTCGTAGACAAGCTGCCCCCTATAATTGTAGCTGAGCACTGTAAAATAGTTGACAATACGTGAATTTTTTTGATAGCATAAATTATAACTAAGCACTTACAACTGGAGGAGGATTCAGAGAGAGATTATGAATCTTGAACTATGTAGTCTACAACATGTAGGACTTTATTCGATATTTGACTTAGTATCTAAATTGCACTCGATATAAACTAAAAGCCATGGCCGTCTAATCGTGTATGAGCATTAATGAGGCGTGCATTATGTCATGATCGGTTAGCTGCAACGTGGCTGCGTCCGTGGACAGCAAATGATGCGGCTGTGGCTGCTGTATCAATAGCTCCTGCTTCGGCTGCTCCACCTGATACTGGGTTATGCTGTGTACGCGACTTAGCTTCGTCCGCGACGTTGTGCTCACAGCAGCGAGGCGATTTCGTTGAATGATCTTCTCTATCTTCTCGGTGTGCGGTGCATGATTGTGTAGACCCCCAGTTATGCTCTTTAGCTTGCCATTTTCGAGGACGCAGCGTGAGCGACAACGTTGTTCGTGCACCTTCTTGGAATAGTTGTGACAACGCCAATACTCCTTGCTATTCTTTCTGCTGTGGCAATTGTACATGAAGCCATTCAGGACCAGGCAAGGCGTCGACCAGGGACTCTCAATGAACAGCAGTTCGCTGTCGTCTGTAAGGGAGAGAAATATTACAATTGGATTAGCATTGATATTCATGTATATATAAAGAATGTCGTACAGTGTATATGGGATATATATCATATTAGTAAGCTAACTAGTTTGATTTTAATTTGAGTTTTATTTAAGTGACATTTAATATAATATAATTTAATTTAATTGATGAGTTAATTTATGTTTTGGTTAAGTTTAGCATCTGGTGCAGCTTCACTTTCTGCATGGGCTTCAGCTCGACAACCTGATCGAGCATCTCCTCTTCCTCCTCGTCGGTAGCGTCGACTAATGCCTGCATCTCAATCTCTGTAGCCTCAGAGGCAGGCACATACAGCTTGCACTCCTTGCCATCCTTGGCGGTCATGATGCTTATGTTGCTGCTGCTCAAATATTGCGATATCTTTGGATTCGATGTGCATATTTCGATGTACTCATCCAGTTCCTCCTCCACATTGTACAGCTGCCTCTGTCCTATGCGACTTACGTGCGATTCGTGATTGTGCAAACGTCGAGCGTCAACGAATTCTCCATTCTTTGTGATGACAACCGCCTTGCAACGCAGTTTGAGCACATCTGCACATCTCCATGTGGTTTGGCCATTTGCCTGGGTTAGCTTCTTGTTGTATATGTAATCCTTGTAGACTAGCTGCGCGTTCTTCTTTTGGCTGCGTATAAATTTGATTTTGCCAGCTGCATTAGCGCGTATACAAAATATAAATACAGAGGGGTGAACAAGAATTGAAGAGTGTGAGTAAAAGATCTGCCTTAGAGCTAAGTGCAATATACGAGTTACAATTTATGCTTAGACGCTACGTGAAATAAAACAACGCACATTAAACAATTTTTGGCTTTAAGCATTTTATTGTAGCAAAGAACAGACCTGAACATATAATTATATGTATGCACACATGTTTATAGAGATTCTACTAAGTATACGGAAAGACACTTTAATTTCAACCCAACTTACAAGCCAAAACAAAACTAATAACATAAAATTATATTATATTACAGCACAAATTCACAGCTATTTCACAGAAGACATGCACATCAGATTGCCTGTAATTTCACGGAAAGAAAACACTCGCATCACTTCTCACATAACACTGCTCTACTGTTAATTCACATTCAATGAAATAAACACTAATGAAATTGTGTATATATATGTATGTATATCACACAGAAAAATAAATTAACGAACACAAAATACGTATGTAGCTTGGCTTTCCGATTCAGTACGGCGTTGCCACCTTTTGTAAGCGCAGCGTTGCATTAACACGTAATGGACTTATGAACTAAATGATCTGGCAACAATTAAAAATTATTTTAAAACCATTAAATTTATTCAGCATTTCTTTAATACATAGATTAAATACAAAATACGTACAGAATTAGGAACTAATTGAATCAATATACACATACGTACAAAAACATACGATGGTAACACGTCTTTTAATTAAAATACTTGCCTGCCATCTGGACATTTCAACCCCGGAAAATTTAACGTTCCAACGTAAATCGAAGTGGCAACGCTGAAGACAGCGCAAGTGGCAACCCTATCCTCCGTACACCATAAAATCTAACAAGCACGACTCAAATTGGATTCCTTGCCCATACCTTAAATTGTCCAATGAACTACTTCTTAAACCAACTTTTACGTCCAGGAACTGAATTAACTGTACACATTTTAGGACAGACTCGGCAATTCATGCCGTTGCCTGAATCACTAGTAGCAAGCTTTTATGTTGCTATAGCCATTCGAAGCAACATCTTATTAAAACAAACAACCAACATTGACAGCTACTGTTATTTTCGTCAGGTGGCAACGTCACAATAAAATAGGTAAGCGAAGGCCAACAGTTTCCAGTGCTTCCAGCTCCAGTCCTAGCTGAAAACGTTAATGAAATGCAAATACTACAGATCTAAATTGGAGAATTACCTGCATTAACAGAGTACCTTTTGTTTACAGCTCCAATAAAGTTTAAGCCGATTAGTTCCAAGGCTAGCCAGCCAGTCCTTGTAATACGGGGGTTGTCGTCCTGGGAGGTCTAGCTCACATCCGGTTTGTTTTATATGTAATTTTTAAACACTCTACTCACCTCCGCGACAATTTTAAACGATTTAAAAACGCGAGAGCAGCTACCTTAGCAAAATGATTTTGCCTCGGTCTGTCGCTCGGCCAAAAACTCTTTTCGAGAAAATAGAGCAACGGCCAATTCGGTAATAATCTTATCTCAACTAATATGGCTGATAAAGCAACTCTTAAATGTGCATTGAACGTTGATGAAGCGCTGATGACATGGCAGCGTACAATTGAAGCAGATTTAAGGGTTCTTTTGCAGCCATTAGCCAAGAGTCGAATTGTGAGTTGCTCGCCGAATTGAAAGGATAATCAATGGACAATTTAAAAAACATTTGCAAACATATTTACAACAATTGAGGGTTTGAAATCTGCGGCAGTTCACAAGTTCGACTGCTTGGTTACTAAATACTTTATCTATATCTAATGACAGCCGATCGATAGTCATTGACTGGATCGGGCCATAGTCAAAATATCAACCAACCTTGAGCCTCTGTGTTGCCTTGATCCGCGCCGGTGTCGACAAACGAGGAATCGCTATAGCTTTGCGACTGTTGCTTGACAACAGCCTTTGATGTGGTGGCTGCGATGCTGGTGCTTGTGTTTCCACCGGTTTGGTTGCCGGCATCTTCGTTTTCGGTAAAATAGCTATCATCGTAGCGCATATCGCCGTAGGTATCATCCTCTACGTAGGCTGTATCGCCATCGCCCGCTACTTCGGCATGCTCCTCGCTATAGTCTGGCTCTGATTTTGTGGGCAATTCCATTGGGAGATCAATATATTCAGCTTCCTCTTGTGCGGCAGCCTGCTGTTGTTGTTGCTGCTGCTGCTGCTGGCGCACCTGATGCACTTTCGTATCACCAGCCACCACAGTTGTCTGCACGGTTATCTGTTGTGTTCCCAGCTGCTGTGTGCTAGTTGCTGCATTGGCAGACGTGTCCGTTGTCGATTCCAGTGGGTCAATTACGTTGGCGGTGGTGGTGCTACTTGTGGTGGTTGTCTTTGAGCGCTTAACAGCACCTGTGCCAATCAGACTGCCCCGTTGGGCCGCCGAACGTTTGTTTGTCGACACCAGCGTAGCTGTTGTTGTGGTTCCCGTTTGCAGCTGCTGCGTTTGTATGTGCTGCTGCTGCTGCTGTTGGGGTTGTTGTACGATGGTGGCTTGTGGTGCGGCTGTTGTCTGGATGACAATTTGTGTGGTGGCCTTGTCATCGCCCAGAACATCATCAACAGTCTCAATTTTGTACCGAGCAGAGGCGCGAGGCTGTTGACGTTGTACACGCTGGGCGGGGATTTGTTGTTGTTGTTGTTGTACATGAGGTGCGGCTGGTGGGGGTGTGGGTTCCTGTGGAGGCTGCGGCGCAGGATCGTTCTGGAAATTATAATACACATTTTATTTTCATGTTCTAGTATGATTTGTCAACTCGAGAAGAGAACAAATAGTTAACTATCCGCCTAAATAATATAGCCACTGATATAACTATATGTTTTGTTATAAATAACATTACTACTTACGTAGAAATGTTATCATATAGAATTAGTACTGGTGATATATCATATATTTTTATGAGGTCATTTTCAGCAAGAGTATAGAGTAAACAATAACGAATCCTCACACTGATATCATATAATCGTTACATATTTTAATACAAAATTATATTGACCGCTTCCTCGGTTAGGGTATAGCAAGCAACCACCAAAACGCGCGCATACTGCTATCGTCAAAAACTAGCAGAGAGCGAAACAAATACACTTTTCAACGACAGCATACTACTGCCATCTCTATCACACGTACGCGTTTGTATGTAGCATATTTCGTTTTATAATTCGAGTACAGTCAAACCAGCTCTTATACAGACAATTTTGCCTGGTTTGTATATGTGTGTACGTGTGCCTGTGTGCTTTATATGTATTGCGCGCGCGAACAGCGCTTCATGTTCTCTTCTCGTATAAGGCTAAGGTATATGGGTTTATACTCACATCTGTCAGCCCCTTTATTTGCAGCGATTCTGCTGTGCTTATGAAGGCTGGAAGGGCGTCCTGTTTAACGTTTACTTCACCGCAATACATAAACTGAATCAGGTCTTTCAATGCCGAATGACTGACATTATTTAAAAAAACTGCAAATTTAGAGAAATATGTAAAAATTTGCTCGCTTGGCAACTACTGCCGAGTTAGGTTTTTTGTTTCGGTACTTACCGATGGCATGGGTATTCGATGGCATTTGCGTAAACATTTTGCGGAAAAAAGGCGAGCAGACGGACAACACCAAACGATGCGCCTTCACAATTTGCCCCTCCGCAGCCAACGAAACATCTACTAGATCTCCACGGCATAACGATTCGTGGAAACCAGCAGACAGATTTGTGTTGAAATTATTCCAGCACAAACTGAATTGCTCGTCGTCCGCCATCTTGGACGAGCGTAGAAATCAATAGAATTTTCTGTATCTGCTTTGTGTGTGTGCTGCTGATGAACAAAAAAAAAATTAAAATTATAAAAATCAGTCTAATTTATAAAGTTCTTATTTGCAAGCAAATTAAATGTGGGGACCCATTTGTTTACAAATGTCAAACCACATCAAAAATGCAGACGCATACAAAATATAGAAGTGAAAAAAAAAACTGGGAAATTTTTTCACGCGTGCCGAGGCATCCATATTTTAGCCATCATTTTGATTAAATTTAACGTAATAAAACTAATTTCAATTAAATTCACCATGTAAATGAGTCCAACTTACTTATTTCAATTGTATTTTTATTAAAAAATACTTAGTTTAAGCACAAATTAAAAATAATTACTTTTACTGCGCTGGAGACGCGCAGTTGCGTCCAACTTTTTCAACGAGTACCACGAAATAAATGTATACTAGCTAGGGATGAACGAAAGTTTTATACTGGCCAGGTATGCTGCTAAATAATCGATATATCGATGCTCAACAACAAGCGATGTTTCTCTAATAAGCAACACTGCCAAGTGTTGACAAACACATGAATATGATTTAACAATTCAAATTAACTGCCAACATATTCATTTTAAATATATTAAAGCAATGACTTTGATATTTATTTAAGAAAAATAAATTATTTATAATTTTTAGTTTTATTACATTCTACATATAAATATTTTATCATACATTAAATATCGGGGTAAAATTATATTACTTGTACAACAAGATGCTTAAAATTAATATCGGTTAGCTATGTATATCAGTAAAATACATATTTTACGTGACTTGGTAATGAAAATATACGTAGTCTGACAAATCGTGGAGATAATACTTTATTTATACCGTAACACTTTAAAGTTCATCGTTCATCAGATGTGTTTATTGAGTCAAGTGTGCGAAATTCTGCACTTGAGCTCCACTTGAAATTGGATCAGCGATTAAAAAGCGCCAATTAACATGGTTTATTATTTGTATGTATATTTTTGTGTAGAAAAATGACTTAAGGACTTTGCAGTAATAAATACACATACTTAAGTTCAAGCAGCGAAATTAAATCTGCATGAAGAGGCTGCGAACAAACAACACCAACAACAACAAAAAGAGAACACACAAAACAAACACATATGCACACAAACCACACACTACACACACATACACAGTTCACAAACATTTAGCTGCTTGGCCTCTGCTGCGCTGTGATTGGCTACAGATCCGCCATTTTCTTGAGCAAGTAGCATAGACGCATAAGAGCATGTCTTGTGCGTGTGTGTGTATATGCGTATGTGTGGCTATGAGGTTGTGTGGGTGTTTGGCCAGCGCCTGCAAAGATTCAATTTTCATTCAGTACGAAAAACGCGCTGACAAATTGAGGACGCGCTCGAGTGCGCAGCGGAACGGCGCATCGTTGAAGTTTACACAGCTCAATAAGGCGAATACGATAGCACCCCAACCCCTCGCACCTAAGCATAATCGCTGTTGCCCTCCCCCACTCTCTCGCCTCCTCAAGTGTCGTTCGAGTCCATTCGAGTCAAGTGCATTTTGGCAAATTGCTGTATTTATTTTAATTTAAAGTGCGACCCTCTCGAGTGATTCGAATTGTGGCAAAGCCAAACAAACAGCAAAGCAAATAAATAAAAATACAAAATCACATATTAAGAAATGTTGCAACATCATCAGCACCAGGCACAGTCCGCCGTCTACTATGACTACAATCAAACGCCCAGCCCCAGCAGCCTGACCAATGCGGATGCTCTAAACACAACCCCATTCTCGGTCAAGGATATACTGAACATGGTTAATCAAACGGAGGCATACGATGGCGCCTACGGACATCTGGAGAGGTAAGACCTAACAGCTAATTATACTAGATGTAAGAGGGTATAACAATGGAACACTATTGATGTTTTATTGTGTATAACAATTACTGTTCACAAGCAAAGTGGATGTTTAATTGTTATACGATTGGTTACAGTTATTAACTGTTATACGATACGATGTATAAGAATATTTATTTTCTATCTATTCTTTTAAGCAATTAATAACAGCTTATAACAGTTAAGTCAATGCATTGCATGTATTTTAAGGAATTTTTGTAAATTTTCTTGAGACAAATTTGAAGTATATGAAAAATCTATTTTTCGTTTTTATCTCTAGATTTTCTAGATAACGATTTCAAATTGAAAATTTTTAAAGTCACCCAAGGGTTTAATTGAAATAAATTTCTTTTTAAATAAGAAATATTGATGACATTTTGGGCCTTTAACTACAAAATTATTTTGCACTAGTTGTCAAAAACTTTCCAAAGATCTAAAAATTAAATCGATTTTTCTTCGAGTTTCATTTACATGTATAAAATTATTTTTATTATAATGTAAACATAAGGTTATAGTTTTAATATAGAACTGTTTTTTTTGTCTACCAAATATCATAATAAAGAGAACTTAACATTAATTAAGTAATGCCATAATCGAAGATATAATAGAAGACAGCCTAATAGGAAATACTGTATAAACGGTGTAATATAAGACTTAGTATAAGAGTTATTGACACATCTACCTGTTCACAGCAAACCTTTCTACAAATCTCCTTCTTGGACATGCCAAATACTTTTTTTTTGTATATTTTATATTATTTATTTTTAATAAGGCTGCAAAGGAAATTAATTTCTACCAATTTCCACGAAACAATAATATTATGCTAACCTTTAGGCTGAGAAGCCGATAAAGAGACATAGTTAGATATAGCGTGGGATACTGAGAGAGAGAGAGAGAGTTGCAGTATAAGAAATCCTATAAAAACATATGAACAGCATGAATTGCAAATAGGACTAAAAGGACAAATCATTGTTATTTGTACAAGAGGCAAGAGACGAAAGGCGAAAGACGAAAAACAAAGACGAAATGCAGCCGCAGCCAGACAAAGTTTTAACAATAAGAAAAACAAAGTCGAAGTCAGAGAACGAGGCAGGCAGGCAGGCAGACGTGGCGAGGCAGGCGCCGGACCTTGAGCTGAGCTGCCTGTGTCCTGGGCAACATGTGTGATTCGCATGTGCAGTAATTGTGATGAGGCATGAAATGATGTCACCAAGGGGCCGGATATATACAGCCAGCAGGACATATAGCCGGCATGCAACATGTGCTAAGCAGGCCAATAAAACTGAATATTCACTTTTCGCTTTTTCTTCCTTTTGTTGTCCTGCAGCGCCTCCGCGCTCTATGGCGCCGCTGAGTACCAACAGCAGCAGCAGCAGCAGCAGCAGCAGCAACAACAGCAACAGTTACAGCATCCACTCGAACAGGCCAGCCAGGCGCAGCTCTCACAGCTTCAACTCCAGCAGCAGCAGCATCAGCAGCAGCAGCAGCATCTGCAGTCACATCTTCTCGAGCCAGAGCAGGATGCTTTGGCAGCATCCGCGCTGTCGCCGCTGTTGCCGCCGCCATCGTCGTCGCACGGCCATCATCAGCTCTATGCCAGCTATCATCAGGACTATGGCATGCCCAGCCATATGCTACAGCATGCCCACCCACATCCACATCCCCATCCACATTCACATCAGAGCTATCAGTCACCATACAATGTGAGCGCCTCTCAGTTCTATGCCACGCCCACAGCTGGCGGCTATCAGACCAACTACAACTACAACTACAACGCGTCGGATGTGTACGCCAGTCCCTCGGCAATCGTGGCGCCCAGCACAGCAATCAAAAGCGAGTATATACCCACGCCCTATGTCACGCCCTCGCCCACACTCGATCTGAACAGCTCGACGGAGGTGGAGTCTCTGGCGCCCAGCCACAAACTGGCCAATAGCAACGGCATTGCACAGCGACTGCTCGAGCCAAGGCTCATGAACGGCACGACGGAGTGCGCCAAGAAAAGTAAGTTCTATGCAATATCCTTCTCAGTTCGAGTCAATCATAAGCAGAAGTCGATAAGATGGCAAACTATTTGTCAATTTATCGATAACGTCACTCAGTCAATCTGCGTCAATCTCGTTGAGCAAAGAGTAGATAACACAAAATGAACATCAACTGCGAATCTATTTGCATGACAAGATTTCCATTTATCGATTGTATTCAATTTGAATTGTCGATAATATCGCAAAAGCAGAGCTAAAGGCCAATATGTAACTCCCATGCTTATTGTCTGTTTGTTTCAGAAAAAAGAATACATCTGAGATTACCTATAATTCCATTTATCAGTCAATGGTCGATGCTCAATTAGTACCATGATTTTTTTTATCTGTTATCGTTATCGATAACATCCGTCAGTCATTATCGATCAGTTTCCAATCAGTCAATTCCCTCAATATCCTCCCGATTTGCTGACAGCTCTTTAAACTCTTCCTTTCAGAGGACAGCCAGGTGACCTCCTCACGCTCCGAGCTGCGCAAGAACAGCAACAACAACAACAACAATAACAGCAGCAGCAATACTAACAACAACAACAATGGCAGCAATGTCTCTGGGAAGCCTCGCATGAAACGCAAGCCGCGTGTCCTTTTCTCACAGGCGCAAGTCCTGGAGCTGGAATGCCGCTTCCGCCTGAAGAAATATTTAACTGGAGCAGAGAGAGAGATAATTGCACAGAAGCTGAATCTGTCCGCCACACAGGTGAAAATCTGGTTCCAGAATCGTCGTTACAAATCGAAACGTGGCGATATCGACAGCGAATGCTTCGCCAAGCAGCTCAAGCTCAAGCCGGAACCGTCGCAGTCGCAGTCGCAGTCGCAGTCGCAGTCGACGTCTACAACGCTGCCGCTGCCGCCGCCACCGCTGGCCAATCACATGATGTGGCCACCTACCGGCCAGCAGCTGCAACTGCAGTAGCAACACTATCAGTAGAGAATTTTAACTTATTGCAACCTATGCAGATCTTATGCCTTAGCCAATGCAAATGCCTCATAACTCTAGTACCTTCTTGTATATATATAAACTATTGGACAATAAATAAAGTTTAAGACCGAAACGAAATGTTTTTGTCATTTTTAGGATCTCTATTTCAGGACAAAGCTCCCTGCCATTCCTGTGCAGCTGCCTTTCTTTGCGATTCTCATATTTTGAACTTTAGCAACTTCTGACTACTTCTCTGTTAGTCTCACTAAGCAGCTTTTTACTTGGGTATTCAGCTATTCTCATTTATCAGTTTTTACTCTAAAAGGGTTTCTCTGCAATTGCTATCTATCAGCTTGTCTCTCTGTGACTCTCTTTTTTTTAACATTTCCCATTCCCTATGAAAAGATCCTTCCGTCTTTTTGTCTCTCACAGATTTTTAGCGTTCCCTTTTGGAGCTTGTCCATCAACTTTTGCAATCTATCTTGTATCTCACCCAAGCAGCTTTCTTTTACACGTCTTCTCTTTGCGCTTTTCACTTAGCTTAAAAGGGATCTCTCGGCGATTCTCATACAGCAGCTTTTCACTTTGATCTCAATGAGGACCAATTGCAGAGCATCAGCTGCTGTGGCTTGCCTTTCAGTTTAATTTAATAATTGCCTGAACAAAGTGCTCGCATATTCCAGTTCCACAGTTTCTTTTCCCTTTACAATCTCTCGCTATACGAATAAATGTATAAATATATTGGAGGCGCGCAGGCGAGTAACCGAGTAGCTGCCACCGATCCATTAGGCACCGCATCTGCGTATAATTGTTGTCGATCGCCGCATAAATCAATTTTATCAAAACGCAACGATCAGTTTTATGAATAAATGAGGAAAAACGCCAAAAACAATTTCCGTTTTTATTTTCGAAAAACGAAAACCAAAATGAAATGTTTTCCTTTCGCAAAAGGGTTGAGCGAGAGGGGCGAGCGGAGCGGCTGGGGGCTGCGTCGCAGACATTACAAAGGTTGCTTTTATGAAACGTTTAAGTGGCAGCCAATGCAACTGTAAAATGTTTTACAACAGACGCAGCCACAGCCACAGTCACAGCTACAGATACATTTGCAGTGGCAGCTACAGACACAGACACAGATACAGATACAGATACAGATACAGATACAATTGCAGACATTTATGACAGGCCAGGCTAATATTTCATGGCGTGTGTGGGGGCCAAAGTTGCCGCTGCCACTCTGCAGTGGTGGTGCAGTGGTTGCTGTGGTGCTGGAGTGCCACATATCAATTACTCCACAAACATATGCCACACAGGCCAAGGGGCAGGGGCAACGGAGCAACGGAGCAAGTGCAGCTGATCACACTTTCTGTTTCCTCTTTTTTTGGGTTGATCTGAAGCATTTCTGACAGGCTGAACTTTTGGGCTGCCTCGGGTTAAATGTCAATCAGAGCGCATCAGTCGTGGATTTAGATAAAAATTATGACAGCTCAGCTCATATAGGGCCAATCATTGAGCCAAGGCTAAAGAGGCTGTCTTTAAGTAGCGGGCAGTTGGCAGTGGGCGTGGCTAATAAAGTTCTTAGTTGGTTTTAGTTTATGAAGTTTTCAAAGGAATAAATTAGTGGAAATCGCATTTATAATGATATAGTCATATAGACTTTGAGCCTAACTGTAAGTTCAAGACTTCGTCTACACACAGCTTCTACCTAAAAAGATTAAGAAATTCTTCCTCTGTCAAGGAGATATCTGCTGAATTTGCTGATCTTTCCTACTCACATTTATTACTCTATTTCGATAGGTCGCTTTAAGGCAAAATTAAGATTAAAAATAGAGATTTTTAAGGATTTTTAAACTAGTTTTTAGATGAGCTCAGCGTTACTTCTAAATACCTCAACTGCCACTTAGTAAGAAAGAGATAATTTTGATGTTACAAACTCTCAAATATAGTCAAAGCAAACCTCTGCTACATTCACATTCTTCTATATACAGAATCTTCTATATTCTGTGTTCAGATTCTTCTACATTAAGATTCTTCTACATTCACATTCTTCTATTATCAGATTCTTCTCTATTCAGAATCTTCTTCATTCAGATTGGTATTCAAAACTTTCGTCCAATTTCTGGTTATTAAATTGCTTCAAATTCTGTGGGCCTCTCTGATTAATTAACAAATCAAATTTTTTTTTCTTAAAGACTTTCAGACAGATCAGTTAGTCTCGAGGGGCGTGGTCAGCACAGTGGCAAACAAAACGCCCCCAAAGGACATGTTGCGGTCTGCTTGAACCGAAATCCATGTCAAGTGTCTTTAAATGTTGCCTAATGGACCACACTGACCAGAACATAAAGAAGAACAGTATAGAAATAGGATTTAGCGAACGAATCGAAGCTGGAAATAACGCTGGCTGCATTAAGGTTTCGTCTTACAATATCTTCGTCGTCGTCGTCGTCGTCTGGAGTCTAGACCGTGGCTCAAGTGGAAAATTTGTCATTTGCCATATATCACATGGGATCTGTGAGATAAGCGTTGGATGCGTTGTGGCTGGGCTTGTAGCGCCGTTTAATTCATGTTGCGTCAAAGGATCAAAGGCGCCACAAGCCGCAGTAACGAGCCGCCGCTACCCCATCTCCCTCTCATTCTCTCCTACTCTCTCTCCCTCTCTCTCTCTGTCTGCTTTCACCACTTTCATTTGCATTTCCTCAATTTAAATTGGGCTGCGAGAAGCCGCCAAAGTGAGAGTTAGGTAAGCAAATTAAGATTTATTAACAACAATAAATAAACAATATAGAAAATGCAACAGCAACATTTAACCAGGAAAATACACTAAGAGAAACGTGGAATATAGATCTCATGACATTTGATTCTGATTTGATCTTAAATTAAGTCTAAAGCAGAGTTAAAAGTTGCACAAGAAATAATTGTTATACCAATTTAAAAAATGTAAGAATTATTTTAATAACTTAAAATAGTTAATTTTAATTTTTATCTGTTTAATTAAATATATTTAAAACTATTAATTAAATTTTAATTTTAATAATTAATTAATCAACTTTGCTTTTAATTTAACAAAAGCCACTAATTAAATAATTTTAATTTTCTTGAATTGGAATTTGGCTTATGGATTTTTTATAATATATTTTATTATATATTTTTATTATATCGAGTCTTAATTTATTCATATTATTTATATACAATTTTACATAAATTTCTTTAAATAAATACATTTGTTGCAATATTAAGAAATATATAAATATAAAATGTAAATAATAAAAGTGTAGAATTTAATTACTCGTTTATTTAAATACATATATTTCTTTTAAGAAAGACGATTTTCGCTAAGTGCATGGCTTGACGCATTCCACGCTTTTCTTCGCTCAGCCGGGTGGCATTCGCATTGCGTAATTTTCCAATGGAATTTCCTTTGCGCCTGTCATTGGGCGCCTTTGTCTTTAATCTTTGCTCTGTCAAGTGGATTCAACCCAAACAAAAAATATCCCAAAGAGTTTGACATTATATCAAAAAGAAAAGCAAGAGAAGAAGAAGAGAACACGAAGAAGAAAAGATGAAAAATTTATTCATTGAGTTGTTCATTCCCATTTGATGTGGCCATAAAAATCGCGAGCTCATTTTACATTTTCCACTCTATAGAGTCTACTTTGTATTGTATATATATATATCCCATCTATATATGTGGATCGGGTTAAACGTTTCTGTTTTATGTCCATCATTTGTGTTGTGCGGCGCTTCAAGTGGAAAATTGTGACAATTATATTCAAATTAATTGAGTAATTGCATACGAAAAGCGAAGATCGTGTCGTTTAAAAGCATTTGATTTATGGCCTGTGGAAAATACCACTCGAGTGGCTCGAATCCCAACCCGAGACTGCGATTGCCGCTCTCTGTTTGAAATGGAATTCAGTTTCCTTCCGCCTGCAATATCCTCTTGCACTTCAAGCACCTGTAAACAGAGTCTTAAGGAAAGTTGAGCTGTACACCTTGTATTATATTCTATGTGAGTCTCTGAACAGAGAGAAGTATGGATCAATCAATATATATCCAACATATATGGCGTAGCAACAATCACTTCACTTAACTTCAAATTTCTATGTAAACGATTTTAGTGTATATATCGAAATCACTAAGAAAATCTCAGAAGAGCTGTATATATTTTGTGGCCCGTTATTTGAGCATTTCAAATTCGTCACTGTAACATATTTAATTTGAGCAATTTTTATAATTAACTAATTAAAACTCGTTGAGACTTCATTAACTTAAAGTAAAAATTATAATAATTATAAAAATCTTATAAATATATATTAAAATAGAGTCTTTCAGTTAAATAATCCTTATATTCTCAAATTACGCTTAATAAACTTATTATGATCTGCTTGAAGTAGCTTGAATTGCATTTTAAAATATTTTTTAAAGATTTAAATTTTATTTAGTTTTATATACAAATTTCCGATTCAAAACTTAAAATTGTAACGGAATAACTGAAGTTCACTGCTTGTTTGCAAGCAGTGCAACCCACCAGTGTAAAAGCAGTAGAAGATGTGGATGCTAATAAGCAGTGAAAAGTGAATGCAAGCAGTACACAATAGCTTATGTGGATTATGCATAATTTGAATTAACGGAAATTGAAATATATAGAGCAACAATACATATATATAAACGACGTTTAAGGCCGACTTTTATAGTTTTTTATTTATTAACATTGACTCACTAAAGCTGCGTCCCCATAAAATAGTTCAATTAAATAAATAAATGATAAATCAATAGGTCACTCAATGTAGTTGGGTTTTATATACTTAAAGCAAACACCCGGAGGAACACTTGCCAAAAATCAATCAAACGCTAAGCGAACGCAAAAGATGGCTCGAATTTCATAATATTGGCTTAAAGAATGCTTCGAATATCACTTACAGAAGGACTCTGAATGCTAATGCAAAAGCAAAGCAAGGCTAAGCAAACAATTGAAGTGCTTTTTGATAAACCATTAAAGCGAATCGAACACC